CTTTAACTGCCCAGCACTTTGTGACCTGCGTAGCACCTACCTACCTGCCTCCCCAAACATCGGAAATACTCTATACAGCGACAAAGCACAGCTGATTAAAACCTGCAAATTCTTTGCCATATCGACAGACCGAAGGGCTAGAACCCAAATGGCCGCTGGATCGGAAAAGTAAAGTCGAAGACGACCACTCTTTTCCTCGACAACGGATAATCGTTTTAAACGGTTTGATTGTTTGGAAAGGGGGGGGGGGTACATCAGTTCTCTCAGTAAACACTTTGGAATCGCGAAACTTTTAAGGTCTTGGTATATTTCTGTTGTTATTATTTTCACAGGAGGACAAGTATGAGTCTGACTTCGACACAGAGAGCGACGACGAGAAAGACAGACAGAGACGGAAGGGGGACAAACTCCCGCCCATCAACTCGGTGAGAAAGATTCAGATTTTAAATAATTTTATCTTCCTCCTAGACCCAAATTCGTCATTTTAGGTAGCCTATGGTTTACACTCTTTGGTTTCTGAGACTAATTTTGCTAGACAAGATGCTACGGTCACTTTAAAATAAGTGTGGGTTCAATGCAAGTATAACACTATTAAGTTGTTTAGAAGGAAGAATCTTCGACGTTAACATTATTGTTATAATAAGATCGAGCTAGACGGAAGGAGAGCCATAAAAACTCCCTAAAAACCCAACTTCAGAAAAGCCATTCTGGGGATCCGATCCAGTGTCATTCATACCTGAGTCCAACAAGATACCAGTCGAGCTATCAGCGCGCGCTCTTTGTGGCAAGTCAGCTTGAAAGAACGCAGAAGGGGAAAACATAGTTAATACGGAGAAAATATGCTACCCTATAACAGAGAGATTATGGCGCAAGAAAGGCATATTGTCTGATGGAGAGCTGTACCCCATGTTGGAGAAACTACATGTACTGTCGAAATTATTCAAGATAGCCACCAATCTTGAGGGAAAAGTGGTTGATTTAGCCAGATAAGTGCCTTGGACGGTATTACTATAATATTTTTTAATACCTAAGGAGGCGGGGGAGGGGAGGGGATTGGGAAGTTGTCGTTTATACAGTTGATTTTCTTGGACAAGTGGCCATTCGAGCAGGTTTGTGTGTTTTTACGCTACAGATCCTAGTCAGCGGTCAGCTCGATGTGTTTGAGAGAGCTTGGTGTGAACAGCCATCAGATGAGTTACTGATTGATTTTAAATGTTTTATGCAGCCGTGGGTACAATCTAGACAATTTAATGGAGTGGACAGCTTCGACCCGGCCTGTCAAGGTCAACCCAGGTTATGGTGGAAACACCTCTACCCTACCAGAAAGAATTGGGGATTTTGATAATACACCACAGACACACCTAATTGTGAATGTATACCTGTGGCAATGGCAAAGACAATTTTTTTAAATTGTACCACAATATACGACAAAAAACGGCAAATGTAGTGTGGTGGTTAGGTGTTTTGCCATCGTGCGCGGAAGACCCGAGTTCGTTTCCTTAGTGGGGGGGGGAGGGATTATTATCGAGGTCCTCGGTCTTTCGGCTAGAACGTTGTACCCCTCTCAACCCGTGTTGGTCCTGACAGGCAGAATCGAAGCCCGCCTCATAAATGATCCAAAGTATGTCGATGAGAGGGCAAAACACCTACATTTAATTTTCTTTAAACCAACAAAAAATTCCAAATGGAAAGTGAGATACATACTTAGATAGCTGACTCGTGTGTTCCTGTATTCCAGGCCCAAAGTCAGAAACATGGAAAAGGAAATGAAACAAACCGCTCCAAGGTAAGAGAACAAAAGTCATAGGGGGGTGGGTGTGTGCTGGTGGCAACATGTGCCTTGTCACAATCAATCTAACCCCCTCC